CTTCATCAGTCGTCTGCCTATGTTGCCTGTCTCTGTGTCTGTCTGATTGTTCATTTGTCCGTCTATCTGTAGATCCAATATATGCGCACTACATAAGTAGAGAATTAAGGTTTCAGGTTGAGACGGTGTACCGCGGGACGACTGTTTTTTTGTACTGCCTCAATTCAATGCAGGCTACCCAGTAAGGGCTAGAGCCAAGCCCGGAACTATAACGTTGATGCAGACTGATTCTTCGGAAAAGATGGTATCTCTTTCAATGGTAGCCTTTCATTTAGAAACTGAGTTCGTCAGAAGGTAAGTAAACGTATCACAGCAGTTTTTCATTATCACAATAGCAGCTTGAGGCCGTGCATTGAATACAATTAAAACCAGTATATTTGTAGATGTATGATGGTGCCGTGCGCGTCAATTTTCATTCATCGCCTATTTCAGTTTGTGCGCGCTGGGTCCGTCACCCTAGCTCCTTAGCTCAGCTTTTAGCTCCAGCAAGATCGGAAATTAAGTTGGCACTAAAGCCAAAGGTAACAAGGCATGCGAGGGCACGTGACCTAAATTCGTATAATATAAGCTGAATTATTGAAATTGAATAAAGTATTTTTTAATGCATAAACGTCGTTTTTGCCTGTCTGATGCATTATGGTTTATGTTACAATATACGAACAGCAGTCTCAGCATTGGGTACATACACGAATAGTTTCCTATCCTGAGGTACGTCGAGCTTCAGATTTATCTGCACGTAATGAAAAGTGAGCTCTTTAACTAAACGCCATGTTACCTAAGAAGCAAGGTACGGCAACATGTGATTGCCTTCGCACAGTCAGAACTACTACGAGAATTATAATTTCACCTTGCCTCGCATTCAGCTAAGCCAAACAGGCCACCGGTGACCCAGAAGACACCTGAGTTAAGGCATTGAATAGGTCTTGTCTATTTTCTGTGATACGAGAGCCGACCGTGTAGAACGCGACTATTCGCGGATAATGGTGAAGTAGTGACACGCTTCTTTACTTAACTTAATATGAAAAAGTAACTTTCACGCATCTAATACGTATGTACGTAGTAGTAGCGCATGTTTGAAAGTGGCAAACAAGCTACGGCGAGCAATAGACGTTCATTCTAAAAAGAAAGCAAACGACCCATAACGTCATTTGATTTATTAAGTGAAGCCACTTTCGAATGAAACCCGCATCAAGTTATATAGACGGTAGTTTAGCAGACATTATCTCTGATCGTGCACATCTGCTGAATTTCAGATCAACGAAAACAGGATAATATTGCTGATATTTGTGATAGTGGTGCCATTTTTTAAGGACGGGTTTATGTCAACATAGCAAACATTGTGTGCATCTCGCCATCTTTAGATTCGATCCATTGGCGTCAAGGTAGCGAACAGCAAGGGCTCTTACCGTACAGAATGGACGCGCTGCTTTTTCCAAGTCGCGCTATACTGGCGATGGAAAACCATTGGCTGACCATTGAAGTGCTCTTTGAAGTGTTCATGCCCATTGTATGCTAGATTAGACAGCACAGGTTATTTTAATGAACACTGATGTTTGTTTGGCTGAATTCTATACACACATAGGGAAAAGTCTGTTTTGAATATCGATCGCCACCTCAGTCGGTTCGGAAGTTCTACCTATAGGCTGCACATCGAGAAAGCTTCCGCGATATAATAACGAGAAGAAACTGATCAAGTTGTTAATTTTTTCTGGATATAATTTAGCTGGCACTTAACCCCTCTATTTTTTAAAACAACGTTCTGTTCTTGTAGGCTGCCTCCATTACTTTAATTAACATAATTTTTTGTGAGACGATCATGTTTTACCTAAAGAGATAGGTTCGATACATATTTAGTAAAGCAGTTGTTTGATCATAGATAATGATTGGGTCGGGTACACTGACAAGCATTAAAAAGAACTTAAACGTAAAAGTTTACTTTAAAGAAAAAAGTTTTCTCATTTAGAAGAAGATTGAGCTATAATAAGAATAAATATAACAAGAGGACTGATGGGAAATCGTTTTCCGATTTTTCCTTAAAAAGAAAATTCTTCCACAGAGTGCTGACCTTTTGAGAACACCGTAATGCGGAAGACCTCTTTCAGCTAAAAGATCAGCTAAAATTTATTAAATATTTTGATAATCTTAGTGGGCTATATTTACAAAGCAATTGTTCTTGAAAATACCCTTTTACGGTTAGTATAAAGAACGCTAATATACGTCAAACTATCGTAGTTCACAATAAAAACATCTGCTGCAGAATCGATATCCTTATGCCCGGGAGATAACTTGTGTTCTCAGCAGTAAATTAAACTAGGTTAAATCTGAAACTTTAATTCCTTGGTCAGTTATTGCCCCTACATTTACTCCATTAGTCGAATTAGCTCGTCAGATCATCCGCACTTCATTCAATAGACCATAACTCTGAAGCGCGGACGCTGCTATACGTACAGCACTAAATCGACTTTCTATGCGCCGTAGAAAAACCCAATACTTCAAACATTATAGAGAGGAAATGTCCAGCCATGTTGTTCCAGCTAACGACACCGCACGTATGTATGCCTGCATCAATGACGACATTTTACTTTAGCTTCAATTCGAATAGTTAGTTAAGGTGTGTGCCCTGTTTCGTACCTTACTGTCATCATCGCCAATGATGCTATCAATGGCCAGCAGAAAACTTGTCTTTGTTACGATCGTGGTGGCATAGTCTCTTCTTACCTTCACCGACGACGAATCAGTTACCGCAAAGGAACAATCAATCGTTTCTGCAACTTCTGCCGTCGTCATTTGTTGCCAACGGTTAACACTGCAGCTTACGTCGAGCTGAGAACGGTAGTACACTTTGCTACGGCTGCCGTCACGATAAAATAGCCACGGCTGTTGGTGGCAGTGAGCCGATTGAACGATGCTGTGTATAACACGTATATGCGCATGTTCGCTGACGAAAATCCTCTTGTTAGTTGGTACCTCTCTGACAGCAGCGATAGTATTTTGTGCCGGTAACCTATTACGGCGGTGCTGTCTGATGTCGCTTCATTAGATATTTCGAAAGCATCAGCCGTATGACCGGCCAGATACACAAACCGACAGACACAGGGCAAGATGGCACCATTCAGATATAGCATTGGTTGCGCGACGACTATCATATCAATAGGGTAAAAATGGGAGGGTAGCATAGAGCAGGTCTAAATAGAGGTTTGCATAAAAGGAAACGCAGATAAAAAATGTTTGTGGTACCAGCTAATAGCTGGGCTAGGGGCGGTCAACCGGGCTAGCAGACGACACCCCACTACCCCCACAGCATCGTGTGCACGTCTGGCAAAGCAAAATAGAGCCTGATCAGCAGTTATAACGTAAGGTAGTTAAAGTGATACTGTGGAAACGTAATGGAAGCAATCATAATAATGGAACGTTGACGAAGAACGACAGTGCTGCTGGTAATAACGGCGGAAGATCCTGGATTTTCTTGTGACTACCGTGACCACACCCATCGTCTGTATTAGAAATAGCTAATAAGTGATGATGGCGTTTGCGCTGATGCTTCATGTCTAATATCCATTATTTACCGATATGCATTGGTGTGTACTAGGCAATTTTGGTCCGACAGCTGTGGCGCTAGGTGCCTTCCAGGGGTCCCCGTGAAAGCTTAGCGGGTAACGCATTTGTCTGCTAATCTTAGGGACACGTTATGGGCTGTTTTCGAACGGACAGACGTCGTTTCGTGCCCGGAGCCAAGCGTCTGATGGAATGCCTATTAACGATAGCAGATGTAAAACTCGGAACATATAGGTACTTCCCAGAAGGAGATTGCATGCGACTCGGATGAACGACAGCGCTACTGTGCAGAACGAGAATGTTATTCGTGCCAATGCATATAGAGACACAACGATAGATCGCTTGCGCTGCAAATGTCGTTTACTTGCTATAGCCTATTCTATTTATGAAGTCATAGACCCAAGAAGCTTTAAAGAAAGAAATCTCACATGACAGTATCGTTTATCTGGCGGTAATTAATGCAGAGCATGAAATATTATAGCGATAACATATATCGTTAGTATCTGGTCACTAATAAAAACAGTTTATTACGCATGCTCCGCAAACAAATCACACAGATGATCCGCACGACGCGTACTCAGCTCGGGAGGCTATGAGCAAGCTATATTAACTGTTCAATAGTATCTGCTATCTTTTAGATAGCTAGGAGTTATTGATTTTTTTTTTTTTTTTTTGTTAGCTATAGGTAGAATGTAAATCACATGTTCGGCCTGACGGTGACAGTGGCAACTTGTGGTTTGTATCGGGAGTACATTCCTGTTAGGTGAGCCTTGAGGTTGTAGTCTGGTGACCGTTCACCTTTAAATCGAGGGTAGCAGAACTAATGCCATGAAACGATTGTACTGTATGAATCTCATCAGCATGAGATCGAGCCATTAGTGGATTATTATTTGTTCCTTTGCTACGCGATGATGGAGCGAACAAATCAGAGAGAAGAACACCTTATTCATTGGCGTTACATGGGGACGATAGGGGACGTTTGCGGCCATTAATAGATCAGCTGTCTATGCGCGCGCAATCAAATTCAAATGAGTAACCTTCGATAGCTAGGCATTTGAACACGACCGCTGTAATTTGATTATCGCTAAGTTCTATCGAAACGTATCTATAGTTTGACGGTCGCTTATTTTTGACATAAGTTACATAGTTGGACATGCATGAGTATGAAGTTTAGGCAGGGTGATTAAATAAATGGCTATACCAAGCGTTGACTAGATGATTAGGTTCAATTAAGAGCTATGATTCTTCAATTAGAACCCCGTCTTTGGTAATAGCGCTGCGGAAAGATTGCTAGTTGCCACTCAAGCTTCAGGTCGTGTCTGGCCACAGCTGAAGTATATCTAAGGGGGATTCGTTCAGATCCGAGTAACTAACTACTTGAAAAAACAGACAAACTAAAGAGGCTTTTGTGCGGAATCGCTTAATCTCGACGTTGGAGTACTTACACAGCGACACTGGCAGCCTTCTCTCTATCTTCACTCTGGGTAGATGATCATCTTCGAGTCTTTCCCGTATGCTGCATCAAAGCAACATTGAACTCAGCTGCAACACCTGAAAATCAATGTGTATTTCACAGACTTAATGTACAGCGAGTGGTAAAGCTACCGCATCCGTACCGAAAATACGTAACAGTCAGTGGTCCACTGGTTCATTAGGATACGCGTGCACGTCACTACGAAGTAAGGAATCGACCATGGCTCCTTCCTGGCTATGGCTGGCGTCCTTTGCAAAATAGTGTAATAAATATAACAATTTTAGACTAAAGTAATAATAATTATAGACGAAAGTCTTACTACTCGTTCAAAGTTGAAAAAATTTGTACCTGTGTCTGTTTATATATACATATATATATGTTTATATATATATATATATAGAAGTTGCTCGAAAAAGCTGCATCGCACAGAAATCAAACTGGGAGAAAGCTTCTTGTTAGCAAGAGGAAAGCTCATTAATCGATCCCTGTTACTGCTCTTCGTGGCAATAATGCCGTGAATAGTTAGTCACGTTCTGGCAGAAACGATATGGCACTACTTCAAGGACGGCTGGCCAGTTCACCATTTACACGCAATTCCGCACCTCAGCTAGCTTCAAGCTTACGTATTCAGTGGCGCTAGGGGTTAGTTAAGAAGAAGTCTGCCCGCCAGATCGTCTGCCCATCAAGCAGATTGCTAGTAATGAAATATTGCATATAGGACATAACATAAATATCGTGCAATAGATATTCACTTACGTTCCCGTAGACGGCAGACCCCTTCGTCGATTGGCTGATCGGTAGATCCGAATATCTAAATAAATTCTTCAAACCAATATCAATACACACTGTGCTATATTGATCTAACAGATATAACAGTACTAACAATCGCAATAACAATGATAATATTTTATATAAAAACGAAAAAAATAACGATAACGCTTTAACTGATTACTGGCGAAAGTGATAGCTTTGTTGTTATTGCCACTGATTGGATCGTGGCGATTATTATAGCTGGTAGTACTACTAGCTATGATAATTATCACGCTCGCTAGCTTGTAGATATATACCGTTTCCAGCGTGGATTGACAATACCGACGTGCGTCATCCATTATATTTTTCGCCGTGATAACGTATATACATTGCGTTGATCAAAGACGTACCGAACTAGCTGTTTTATGGCTCCAGTCTATTCCAATGAGAACGCTGCTAATGTTAGTATTCGAAGTTCATCATTTGTTTTGCAGCAGCAGCAGCAGCAGCATTGAAAACATACGTCCCACTTGAATATATCGCAAGAACACAGATGGCAATACGATCTAGTTCGCAGGCTTCTTTGCCTTTGGTCGACTCAGGTACGCAGATGAAATGCACTACGAGCCTATTGATGAGCCAAGCGGTAGTTATCGCTTAGCCCACAAGTTACACATATTTGTCGTTTTGTCAGTGTAAATTTCAAACTTGAATTACTTGGGACATTTTTGGACGCTTTATTTTCTTAATTTATATTTTAATTTAAGTTATCAAAGCTGCTCGTGGTCTCGTCCGCAGCTATGAAGAGTTGACCATTATGAAGATTCTGAGTTACTCCATTCTTTGAGCTGACTTTGCACGTTCGCACTGTCGCGTGTAAAGGAGAAATAAGCCACCTGTTTATATCGTCATATACGATAAGCTCGGACTATACCATATACTTTGTACAATGCCTTTCTACCATTGTAAACGTGATAGCGTACCTCTTTGTCATACTGGGTTCGGGAAGAAGAAGAAAGACGTGCAATAGGCTGCCGTTCGGTTCGTACTGTTGAGAGTACGTACGAAATCATACGCAACATCACGGAATAAAGCTACAAGAGAGCCTCACTCGAAAGCAGTGTTTCGACGTATAGAGCCAAGAGATGGTTCTTATCTAGCGCACCAAGCCAATTACTGGAAGAAGACAACCCGACTATGATCGCTAGTTGTCATAGTATATTTCGGTATAAGATCTTCTCCTAATTCAAAATATATCGGACAAATATATCGATGAAGGCTCATTAGTAGCTAAGAAGTCGTAAACAATATTAGCTGTCAATACAGCGTGACGTCTAATGAAAACACGTCATCCAGTCATATACACTGCTGAGTGTTTTGTTGTATTGAAAACCACTCAATGCTGAAGTCGTAGACGAAGATTCTCCTCCTCGACCGAGTACCAGCATTGCAGCTGTCCTTTGCCGAATCCGTCTGAGCTGTTATGTACATCGCCATCATCTCAATGTTACGACAATCGAGTTATTAGACCATTCAACTAGAGCTAGAATAATACATATGACTGGATCATTCTTCCGATCGTCATATTTTACTTCATCTAATAGCCTTTTGCCTTATAACACAATACATGCCCTTTTAAAAGTGTGCATTATTCTGAAAACGTTCTTGCATACACGCACATATATATATATATATATATATATATATATATATATATATATATGCATGTACAGATGAGATACGTTTTCGCGTGTGTATCGATCACCTCGGGATGACGGTTTCAGACGCCTTTTGTGTTGTAGAATTAAGCGGTGATTGGCTTTGTCGCTATAAACATTGAGAGTCCATTCTAGCCGTCTGATATCGACAGATCAACGGGCGAGTACGACATTTGTTTGCTTCAATGTACAAAGATGAATATGGATAAGAGGAAATCTGTCGAACGTGTACGAAGTCCTGCGCGCGACGCATGAGCGCGAGGGGGTTTCACAGTTGGCTGAGCTTGTATTTGGATCAGTTTTTATGGTGTGATTTTGATTTTTTAGGACTAATTTACTATTTTCAGTGTCCTTCGGCATAGAACGCCACTTCGATTTTTCCTCAGCTGTTCCCCTCATTGACGACAGATTGAGACAGCTCTTTTTAATATTAATTGCGAGCTGGCCTGCATAATCACGTGTCAATATGGTCAATCCAGTTGGGATTCATTGACGGAATGTTTCTGATCTGGCGCCAATAATGAATCGATATCTTTTTGACGCTAAAATGACTTAACTTGCTGTTATTCACAGCTACGCATTCTGTACCTTTGGCTAACGATGCTTGCACTCTGAGTCTCTAACAATAATAATGAAAACAATATGTAGAAGAGATAGGTCGTCTAACACAAAGTGACGCCGTGCGCCCTTCTGCCTCTGAGGTCAGTGCGTGTATTCCCCAATTCGTCACGACCGACCCTATTGCTACCATGTTACACCAGGACGTTGGAAATCGTTTTACCATGGGAATATTTCTCAGAACTACGAACGATAACAAGAAGACGACGACAACGTGAAACGACCCCCTGAGAGTGGTCTCATTGTCTTTAGCAAATGTCTCACGCTCTGCCCCTTCTTCCTTCCAGAACACCGGCTGTTACATCGGCCAGCCACGGCGTACTTTTATGACTGTTTGCGATAGCTGAGCGGCAAACTACTGGATAGCACTACTCTGTGACTACTGCTACTCTAGCTGTTTACGTTGATGAATGTCATTTATATTGTGGTCGTTTCTCAATAGATTTCTGTCATTTTCGGCCGCTGGGGACATTTGGCACTTGATGTATATGCAATCTATACACGTAATTCTATAGATTAGAGTAACGCTGAGCCGATGCGGCTTGAATACGCATTTTTCTTTATCTTTTAGCGTGGTTTGGGGAGTCTATTTAATGTGGGCTGCGTATGAAGCTCAACTTCTTTCCGCGGAAACCAATCATCAATTATTTCCTCAAGGTTCATTCAGAATCAGCTCAAATGTTCACTTAACAGTATTACGGGCTGATGGAAGCGCCACCGGAAGATTAGGCCGATGTCGCCTCGATCAGGTTTCCTACCTCTTGGGACGAGCTAAAAACTTGCGCAGAGACATATTCCTCGTGCACCTTCTGAATTCTGTCCGAAAGCATCGCTTGGATTTTACCTTAAGTTTTTTAAGCAAAGCTCAATAATGCAATCCTTTTTCTTGAAGACGTCCGTGGCTAAAACCCTTCGCTCTACCTAACACTCTGACGATCAGGTGATGTAATATACAAAACTTTTTATTTTGCCATCAAGAGAACGCAGCATGTCTGCTTCGTCGAAACATTCCCCGATATGAGCAAGCGTTACACATAACACCAACGTATGAAAAATCGTGTCTTCGGTTCCCTGCGTACTGAAAGGCTCCATGGCCTTCAACTATGCGCGCTACGTGATAGGTAGTTCTTGACCATGTTCTGTAATCCAGACCTCGATCTTTGAGATTATATTTTTGGATGCAGCGCCCGGATCGAATCTTGCTATAGCATACCATTCATCTTGCCATTATGTAAGTAATTCTCCGTTTGGCATCTTTCGTCGGCTTGTCCAATAGCATACGTCGTTTTTTTGCCTTTAAGCTTCAAGTTGTAGTCCCCTATATGACCACAATTGCGTGTATGCTGACCGTGCAGTAGACCTGAGTGACCCTCGACAACAAGACTTGCTGAGCTTCGAATAGTAATTCCTTGACCGTGTTAGTCATAAGCTCTGGCAAAGTACAAAGGCCAGTCCCAACCAGTGCTATCAATTCGGCTGTGAACATAAGGAACCTTCCTTTTGCCTTTCTAGAACGTTAATGTACAGTGGAATTCTGGTTATTTACGTGAACATTTTGCTTTTAGCACAGCTTGCTTGACATGGTATACTCTACGTATGTAATGATCTAACCGTATCGCTATGTGTCTTGCCGTTTTAAGACAACGAATCCCTTTATTATTCAGTATTAGTATAAAAAGTAAGTTTTTCTTCGTGCTGAAAAGTATTACGGCTTTCGAGTCCGTAGAGGCCAGTAACAACTCATGGTGTTTCATTCACCCGCTCTACTCTTTGCTGTCTTTGTTCGCATAGTGACAACGAAATTGCCTGTGTAAGCACTCATTTCAATTTCCGAAACAAGTCTCTAATACAACACCTCTTCATATGCTAGGATTCATAGTGGTGGCTTTAGCAGAGAGTCCTGCGGCATACCAGCAGTTATAGGAAATGTAGCTTCTGTATTGGCCATGAATCTGTCCTCTAAATACTAGTTAGAGACTAGCGAGACTGAG